TTGATTACTTATCTCCCCATCTCTTGTGCTATTAAGCTTTGTTTTTTTCTTTTTTCTCGTCTTACTTTCGCACCTTGTACATTTGTAAATAAACTGTTTGTATTATAAATTCTCGTATTGTCTCCTGTCGTTCTGTGTCTGCACATTGTTTATTTCTTACTGCATTTACCGGGGTCTGGATTTGGAGAATTCCCCTCTCACTGTTTTTTTCTTTGTTTTTGCATTAAACCTTGGAATCTCTTATTTATTTTTTTATTTTCTCGTTGCGTATCGGCTGTCGTAGTCCCAACGAAACCCCGGGCGTAACAATATATATATATATATTGTCCCATCAAAAGTATTGAAACGGCAAGGCCATTTCCTTTGATTTTGTTGTCTATTTAAGACATTTGAGTTTCAGATCAAAAGATGAATATAAGACAAGAGTTCAGAATTTCATTTAGATGTGTTAAACAATCAATTAATCTATTATTATATATATATATATATATATATATATATATATATGTTTTATATATAATATATATATATATATATATATATATATATATTAATATAATATATATATATATATATTATTTTTATTTATATATATATAATATATATATATATATATATATATATATATATATATATATATATATATTGTTTTATATATATATATATATATATATATATATATATAAAATTTCATTAAAATAGTATGGACAAGTGTTGTCTATTTTATGTAAACTCTTTTCATAACGTCTAATAAGTTTAATTACATTATCATTGAAGGAAGAACGTGTATGAATGAAAAGATGCTACCTAAATACACAATATATATATATATATATATATATATATATATATATATATATATATATATATATTCTATTCATACAACGTGTGAAAGCACGTGCAATACCCTGCCCTCGTCAGTCGCCAACCAGGTGTGGTAACACAGTTTTGGTGGCGAAGGCAGTAATGCCATTCATGGTGCTACAATGAGCCTTTGTTTTTGTGTAGACGTATCAGTCTCTTGCGATTTCATTTTGCAACTGCATGTCAGATTTTCAAAGTTGTGTTAAAATCGTTTGCTTTTGTTTGTTAACCAATACACAACGCGCTCGTAGCGACCGTTATCAATGACGTAGAATGGAAGGTAAACGGATGTGTTTCCCGTCGGAAGTAGCATTGTGTTGCGAGCATGATTTTAATTAACTTTGTTTATTTGGGATCTTGACCAGACCCATATGTTGATGACTGTTGAGCTGTGGTCTGTGGTAATGATGTGAAGCTCGCTTTAGGCTACGGTCAGTGATGCCAACCTTCAAAAAGAATGAAACGATTGACCGTCCATGGAATCTACGGTACGTGAACACAATAGGGAGCGTAAGACATGTCTGTCCCTTTTTCACGCAGTCGGATCGCAGCGAAGCTGCAGTTGCCACACTAAACCACTCAAGACAAACTTCGTGCAAAAAGATCTGATATGCTGGCTAATGGGGCCATTTAAATGATTGTAAGTATTAATAAGAGTTCCTGATCAAGATTCGACCAAGTATCTCTCTGGTTGCTTTTGGGCCACTGGATTCTTGGCTTGCTTAGAATTTCTCCAGGGCGCTGACGCTCAGAAATGGGACCCTGAACACTGGCTCTAATCCAGATTCATAATCCCTTCACCAATAGGGGAATTGCGTTGCATGCACCAGCGTGTCTATTGGATGCGTAAACCTCGCAGGCTGTAGAATTTCCAGCCGCAATCACACGTTGTCGCCGGTTTCAAGTCCAGAGATTAATAATCCCATCATATATATTTGTATGATTGTTCAGGTAGATAGAAAGAGAAAATCATCCTCCAGTTATGGGGAAATAGCAGGGCAGATTGGGATTCTATAGTCTTGGGTGGCAATCGGTCTAGGAGAAGGACACTTCTGAATTCAAAACCTGCGGAGGTCGTTTAGGATCTTGTGGCATACTGTACACCAGTTCTCTCACCAGTGTGGTTGGTTCTGCAAAAAACTTCATTTTTTCTAATCAAATGGTATATGCGGGTAGTCAGGCTGTTGGTTCAAAGAACTGGGCCTCTTGAAAAAAATACGTCGAAAACAACGGGAGCATCCAATATAAACAATCATACATACATATATATAATGTATGTACGTATGTGTATGTGTGTGTATATATATATATATATATATATATATATATATATATATATATGTATATAATTACGAATATGCCTGCATATATATTTACAAGAATATATATATATATATGCTTTCTTGTTATATATATTTACACAGAAACAAACACATACATATAAAGAAGAAAAGCAAGGGTATTATTAATGTATAGGTTGAGGGAAGGTTAACTGAAATTTACATTTTTTTTATCCAGCTTCATATGTACTTAAGAGAAATTTCCTAATATGTAAACAAGGATTCAAGACTTTAGATTTCTGGTTCAAAAGGTTCTTTAGATCTGGAAATGTCATAATCGCTATTTTTTCTGTTGACAGAGATTGCAAATATTGTTGTGGTTGTTGTAAGGTTTTGTCTTTTTAATAATTTTCCAGCTTACAATCGGATCCCTGTTGTTTTTTTTTTCTTTTAAATTCTACACATGGTCAGCTCGTTTGTTAAAGTACCTAAGATTTACTACTTGAATAGTTTTAAGTCAGCTCCGAATCGCTATCCGTGTTTTGCACGAGAATGCACTTTGACCAAGCCCTGACCTATTCCCAGGTCATTTAGAGTTCAACCGAATATATATAGTAGAAAATAAGCATAAAAAATAGAAGCATGGCATAAATTTCTCGCGGTATTAATATAGAAATAAATAAATAAACCTACACATGCACAAAATAACACTTGCCGTAAAAAAAACCCCAAAAAACTCATTTTATTTTTCGTTGAGAAAAGACAGGCATGTCCAAAAATTCCTATTTTTAACATATTTTCTTATACATTTATTTTAACTGATAACCCAATAATTATAATAATAATAATAATATCTTTTCAAATTTCTTTCATTAGCCTACAATATATATATATATATATATATATATATAATAAAAAGGCTTAAACACTAATATTCCATGGTCATAATTTATTCCATTGGAATCGTAAATACGATCCAATTCATCAGACCTACAAATTTAATCTCCCACCTTCTCTCGTCTGTTACCCCTCTCTTTAGCTCTAACATTCGTCCCACACTCTCATACTTACACTCTCACTAAATTCCATTTTTTATTTCCGTAGTTGCTTTTTTCTGTTTTCTTTTTGAATTTGTATCATATTTACGATTCCAATGGAATAAATTATGACCATGGAAAAAAATGAATTGGATCGTATTTACGATTCCAATGGAATAAATTATGACCATGGAATATTAGTGTTTAAGCATTTTTATTATATCCTTATTCTGTCCTGGACATTGAGTTCTACCTGGATTCTATCCTCTTGGAATTTTTCTATTAAAAAAAATATATGTATGTGTATGCATGTATGTATATATATTTTGCATATGTATGTGTATATTTACCACTAATATTATCTATATATATATATATATCACTTATTCAGGTGTAAGTAATGTAGGGAAAATTATATCTTCACACTATTGTTAAAATACTTTAAAACTTTTATAATAGTGAAACTCTAGCTAATAAACCCACCTGCAATTGTAGGAGTAGAGCTGAATGTCGAATCGGAGGAAGATGTATATATGTGAATGTAATATATGAAGCTACAATCCTCCCCAAATCTTTAAAAAAAGATACATAGGTGTATCCGCTGGTAATTGGAAGCAGCGTCTGTACAAACACAGCTACTTTTTTTAAATATTGATACCTAAAATAATCAAACTTCCTTATCCAAACACTGTTGGAATCTGGTGAACAAAGGACTAACCCCACATTTGGAATGGAGATTCATATCAAGAGCGAGAATCCCTGATAACTTTTGTGACCGGTGTCATCTATGCATTGGGAAAATTTATTAGAGATAAAAATCCAGAAGAGGTGCTGAATCTTTGAGGTGAGATTATTTCCAAATGTAGATATAAAAAAATGCTTTTAAACATAAACACGGTTTTATAACGTGTTGTTTCCTATCCTTGGATTCCTTATAGCGGATGTGACATTTAAATCGATTGACAGTTGTTATTACCTATCTGTGTCTGTGTTTACGTATTTATATATTTTTTCAATCTTATAATTTTTTTTCAGCGGTCTTATTTATGTGTTGATATATCTATATGTGGGTATGTATGTATAAATTTTTTTCTAGATAACTGATATATAATATCGGATAGTTTTCTGATAGTTTTAAATACGGGGGGTTATATGAATCTAGAATTTAGGTTAATTTGTTGTCTTAATAGACGTACATTCGTTCATCACTTCTTATTTTTCATTTTTAGTTTGACTACTAAAATATTTTTACTGTCTTGATTTCAATCTCTAATTTTTTCACATTTTTTCATTTGTATTTTTATTTTACTACTGATATTTTCACTACTAATATTATTACTGTCGTCTATTATGAATATTATTTCATGATTTATTATCAGATTATTATTGATTACATTTTATATTTTTATTATCTTTTACTTTTTATTCTTATCATTGCCATGATGCCATTATTTTTTTTTATAATTACTTTTATTGTTACCATTTCTTCCTTATTTCTAATTCTTTTTTTAAGTACAAATTAGTTTTATTTTATCCGTCTATTTTTAAGTGTATAAATATATGTATGTATGGCTGTGTAGGTATATGTTTTTTATATATGTATGTATGTATGTATATTTCTATATATGAGTGTGTACATATATGTATGCATAGGTGTGTATATGCATATGTGCTTATGTGTGTATATGGTAATAGTAGGATTTTACAGGATTTACAGGATTAAATATTTTTATATGTTTATGTTAGATTTGTAATCTGTCGGGAAAAATTACATGCTTTTTCAAATTGTTCTTGATTACAGATCATTTCTCTTATAAAGGCCCTGTTTTACTTTGGCCTTTTTTTTCCTTGGGCCTTTTCTTCCCGCCCTCTCTCTTTCTTTCTCTCTCTATCTTTCTCTCTCTTTCTCTCTCTTTCTTTCTCTCTCTTTCTCTCATTTTCTCTTTTCATGTATACATAAGGTTAGTAAATGAAAACCAGTCAACAAATTTTCATATATACATCGGCCGTGTAAATTGGCTATACAGTAGCGTCCAAAACTAAGGGATAAAATTTTAAAACCTAATATTTGTTAGAAATAACAACTGTGAAAAGCTGAAATTTTGACAACTGGTAGTCGTTATCATCCATAATAACATACTAAAATTTGAATCATTTGCAAAGGATAGAAAAAGAATTATAACAATTATTTATTTATTTTCGAAATAGGATCGTCCAAAAGTAATACATAATTGTATGTATACAAATATGTATATGGATATGGATATGTGGATTTATGCGTATATGAATATACATATGTATAAGTGTATATGTACATATATGTGTGTATATATATTGTAGGCGCGTATGTAAATATATATGTATATGTGTATTCGTAATTTTAGGTAGGTTTATGTATATGTATCGATTCATGTATATGGGTAACATATGCGTTTGTATGTGTATATGTATATATATGTAAGTATTTGTGAGTTCATATATGTGATATATGTGAATATATGTGTGGGATATAGAGGTATGCATATATAGGTATAAATGGATGTAGGTTTTTCTTTATATATATATATAGAGAGAGAGAGAATTCTAATGGAAGGACATAAAATTCTTTTATTAGCGTTTAATCTTACTTTCTCTTTAAATAATTTCTAATTAGAA